GGCCTGGCCGCCGCGGCGCCGCTCACGCGGTCGCGTCTCCCCGCAGGTCGGCGGCAGGGTGGCCGACAGGGTGTTCGACATCGCCAGGTGAGCCCCGCCAGGCGCCTCGCCTTCCCCCGCAGCCCCTGGGTTGGCCTGCAGAGGGAACATTTCCTTCATGTAGCCTCCGGGCGGGTTTGGTGTTGCTGGTGTCTTGTGGAAGGATGCGCAGTGACAACCACGTGTGTGGCCGGGAAGCATGCGTGGAAGTTATCTCAAAAAACGTACCCTAGAACTGCATTTTTGTGTATATGGCTTGTAATGCAAAAAAAAAACCCTGTGTTTTCAGAGCATATTCCCTCTTGCTTTGGATGTTGGCTCTGGAAGAGGTTACATAGCTCAACATTTAACAAAGGTACTGCCCCATGCTATGTTGGTGTCGTTTAAAACATGTTCACTCTTGTGTGTTCAAGCAGGATGCTATTATAACTTAAAACACCCCTCCCCATCGTGATGAAGTAGTTTGTACAGCCCAAAGATGTCTTGTGCAGAATCAATTAGCTTAAGGTAACTCATATCCCTAACAATTAAACGAATAAGATCAGTCGTAGTGCAAGTGAAGCTGTGTTATATGGCAGATAACCTTCAGTTATCCATCCATGCATCTGGAAGATAGAATCATAGAATCATAGAATGCTTAGGGTTGGAAGGGACCTCTAGAGATCATCTAGTCCAACCCCCCTGCATACGCAGGGACACCTAGAGCACGTGGCACAGGACTGCGTCCAAGCGGGTTTTGAAGATCTCCAGAGAAGGAGACTCCACAACCTCTCTGGGCAGCTTGTTCCAGTAGATGGATGCAGGCATATGGTTAGTTTGTGGCCCTCAGGAAGGTCTTAGTGAGAAATACTGTGAAGACTTTCAGAGGGGTGAACTTGCTTTTGAATAACGTGCTATGAATAACGGTGCTTCACTGGTTGCTACTGCACAGTTTATATCCATCCGAACCTATCCATAAAAATGCATATGACATATGTTTGGAATGTGTATGTGTTTGAAAATACATATATATATATATATACACACACATATATATGTATATTTGGAATACATGTAAATATTTCAAAACATGACCTAAAGTTTGTATAAACTGTAAAAGTTTATTAAAAAGCTTACACAGTTTATGAAACAAGCGTTTGACAGATGCTTCTTATTTCAGGAAACTGTCGGAAAACTTATTCAAGTAGATATTGCAGAGAATGCTTTAGTAAGTAGCTTTCTGAATTTTATTTGCAATGTTTCAATTATACAATACAGAAAAGCAAAAGAAGTTTCTGATGTTTTTATTCAAACTCGACGTTAGAAAAATACTTTGGAAACTGAAATCCCTACGGCCAGTGTAGTAGCTGATGAGGAGTTCCTTCCTTTCAAAGAAGGTACATTTGATCTTGTTGTTAGCAGCTTAAGGTATGTATTTTTTTTTCATTTGTTGACACTTAAGGTTTTGATGAAGATATTAAATAATGTTATTTTCAGAGTAATCTTCTTCTACCCAGCCACCTTCCTCATCCCCTGCTTCCCCTCCCCTGCTCCCCCCCGCCAAAAAACAAGGGAGAAATAAAAAAGAGAAATAGTCCATTTAACAGCAATAAGTACTGCTGTACAAAATACACTTGCCAAGTCATAAGCAAATATCAGGAAGAAATCCTGTACTGGTGGTTCTTAGTGAGCTGTTTTCTTCCTTGAAGACACACATGGCTTCTTTTCATGCATTTTGACTGATTAATCTCCAGGAATTGCATCTTTGCTTTTTTTGGAAAAAAAAAAAGTCATTTATATAAACTTTGGATTTTATTTGGTATCACTGCACTTCGCACTTTTGCAACCTGAGAAATTTGTTACATAGGCTTCTGAAACACAGTTAGATGATTTTACAAGTATTTGCTTTTTTACAAATTTTACTTAATATGTAATATAATAAATACACTTCTGGCATTTCAGTTTACATTGGGTGAATGACCTTCCTAAAGCTTTTAGAGAGGTAAGAAACTCCTTTCTTTATTGGCATAGAGAAAGGTATCTTGATTAATGACTAATTAAAAAGCATGTTTCATATCACTAAGGCAAATTATGTTTGAAGCTTTTATTGTTTTACAAGCTTGGTACTGCAATGCAGCTCTTCCAGATGTCTGAGCAAGGGATCAGTGCCAATTCTTAACAAAAAGCAAACTTTGAATTTGTTGGAGCTCTCAGTAAGAAGGGAACAAGAACTCACTTAAAAGAAAGCTCGTTCTGTCAGTCTTGAAGATAGAGTGATTGTATCGCTCCTCTGACCAGACAAAAGTGCATGATGATGGGTGTACCCAGCCATTCACAAATGGCTTCTTTTTTTTTGGTTCCCTTATGTAAGAAAGTAAAAATAAATAAAAGCTATCTTATGCTTTTTTTTCCTCATAATTAAATTAATAAGGATATTGTTTTCAGAGACCTCCATTCAAAAAAAAATAGCTTTGCCCTAGAATAACTGCACATTCTCTATTTTATAGTTCTAAGAGCTTAATTTCTACAGATTCATTCTTAAGAACAATAGTGTCTCCTCTGACAGATCTATGCATCTCACCATGTCACTAGAAGGTTTCTCACTGCTTGCCTTGGGGATGCAACCTTCAAAGGCCAGGGACTCCTGAGTCATGCATGCAGAGAAGTAATGCTTTTGCATGCGGACATATAATTGATTTGACTTTTGAAAATCACTGGGATTTGGACTGATCCCTGACTTTTGTGTTTTTTACGTTTTAGTCAACTGCACTTTCTAATCAAGTGATTAGAGTAATTTTAATTGATTTTTATCCACATGTATATCACTTTTTTTTTAATGATTGCTTTTAAGTTGATTAAAAAAGAATCCTTAAGAACTTTGTAGTTAAATAGAGACTTCCACATTTTTTTGAATATTGTATCTTCTGCATTGTAGATTCATCAAGTACTTAAGCCAGATGGAGTATTTATTGGTGCAATGTTTGGAGGAGACACGCTGTATGAACTTCGCTGCTCTCTGCAGCTAGCAGAGCTAGAGAGAGAAGGGGGATTTTCTCCTCATGTATCCCCCTTCACTGCTGTCTCTGACTTGGGACATCTGCTGTCAAGAGCTGGCTTTAACACTCTCACTGTGGTAACTACAAATATAAGAACGGTCAGACAAAACAATTCAGAACATCAGAGCAGCTAGTAGATTAAGAATATTTATGGTAGAAATGCTACTTCACTTTGCACATCAAATACCTTACTGAAGAAGTTTTTAAACTAACTTGGTCTGCCTCTGTTGGTCTTACTGTGAGCAATGGAATCAGCTGTAGGGCATCTTTGGTTTGTGGTCCTGCAAAGTTTCGATGGTCTCCTTGGAGAAATGTGTCTGAAAAGGTCAGACCTACTGGAAGAATCTTAGAGCACTCTTGCTGCTTTTTGTAAGACTAAGATGAAAAGAATTGCACTTCAATTAAAACTTGGCTGCATTTGGGCTACTGACAAAATTCCTTAAAAATACTGAGGTGGTTTAGGAAAAATAAGCAGCTTGAAAAGAAGTGACAGATACATTCTAGTAGCTGCTCTGAAAGTTAATGCTGTGGTTTTAGCTTGATGTGCTCTAAAATTAAGCTTCTGAATCCTTCTAGGATACCGATGAAATTCAAGTAAACTATCCAGGATTGTTTGAGCTTATGGAAGACTTACAAGGCAAGTACATAAACTTCTGGGAGCATAAGCACTTTCTGTATCAGTGATGTAGACACAGAAAAGTTAATGTTTCTTCACTCCAGATGAAAAAAAATAAAATAAGTTTTAATTATCTCAAACTATTTTTGTGCTAACAAATATGAATTGTAGCATTGTGACCTCTCTGCTCACATACTTAGGAATGTATACATATTGACACCACTGTAATGCAGTCAATCTTGTGCCCAGATGAGAAGCCAGATGCCTTTTCCTCCCTTTTAATGTTTTGTTTTTTCAGTTTTTTTTTCTCTCTTAAGAGAGTATTACTTTTTTCCCTGATTCCTTGTCAGGAGATTAAACCCATCAGCAAATGTGTTTTGGGTAGCAGAAGTAAAACCAAAAACTTGTTCGGCTGGGCTCTGCTGTGGATGCCGACCTCTGGTAGTGCTCCCGGTCTGCGAGAGCCTGTTCTGTGTGAGTTGCTGAACAGGCTTCTGTCCCCTTCCAGAGCTCTTTCCCACAGAGTAACTTTGTAGTTGCTGTGTTAGGCAGTGAGCCTGCTAAGCTCCTGTCAAGAAATTCAGGATACGGTCTTGGAACAAGAATATTTGGACCCTCAGATTGGAGTCTGCTGAGGAAAGCAAGAGACTTAGCAAGTGGGCTTCTTAACAGCAGAGTTAGGTGCAATCATGACACTGTCAGACATTGTAAAGTTCACATACAATCCCGTAGTTACTTATGGAGCAGTTTAGGGCATCTCCTAGGTCTGGATCAGCTGCTGCTGTTCACGGTAGTTCCCTAATGGATATAAAGCTTTGATGCAGGATTGTCCAAGACTAAATTGACAGTTCAATTTCTTATTAGAAGTCTTCTGGAATACAAAACAGTGTGCAGTATCTGCAGCATGTATGAACAAACACCTTGTACTTAGTGTTTTAAAAGAAATTATACTAGAAAGTCTAAATATCTGAAGACTGTTGCTAAAGAAGTAATAATCTGAAATTATTGCTAGCACTACAAACCATAGATTGCAAAGCGTTGGTATCGAATGGCTTTGATGTTGTAGCTAAGAATTTTTACTGACCTGTTGTATGGTATGCTCACTTCCAGTGAGATATTCAGAAGATTCTATACCTATTCTGGCTTAATAAAAGTTGGTGCATGAGAACTCATGTTACATGCTATATCTTCTTTTTCTTAAAGCTAAAACATATTTTTAGGTATGGGGGAGAGTAACTGCTCTTGGAATAGAAAACCTCTGCTACACAGGGAGACTATATTGGCAGCCACAGCAATATACCAAGGTAATTTAAGAGGTAACACATTAACCTGGAATTACTTGAAAAACATATTTCATGTTTTGTTTTATTTTGATCTCTACATAACACATTAGAACTAATAATATAGAAATTTCAAACCTTAGTTATAACGACAGGATTGGAACTATGTTGACACACCAGTAAAAGCAATTTTGCTGTCCCAAATCTTTCAGTGAGAGTGATGATGATGATGAATGTTGTACTTGGTTCTAATGTTCTGTGAACTAATGAGTTCTTAGAACTAATATTCTGTGTACCTTTTCTCTCCCTCCCTATCGTAACAGAAATGTATGGAAATAGTGATGGCTCAATTCCTGCCACGTTTCAGATATATTACATGATAGGCTGGAAATTCCATGAATCACAGGTATTGTGAAGCTAAACTATTGCTAAATACTCAGACTTTCTCAATTACTAGCTTTTGTTTCAAAGTATGGTCATTTTAAGTGACTGACTTCTGAAGTCTTTTTTACAAATTTCTTTAACTTAAGACATCAGCATTTTATCTTCTTTTTTTCTTATAGGCAAAACCAGCCCAGAGAGGTTCTGCAACAGTTTCATTTGGAGATCTGGCAAAAATAAATGGAATTATTTCAAGAAGAGAAAAATAGTTCTTCATTAAAAGCAAGAGTTGTTTAGGACCTCTCTCAAAACTTTGCATTGTTGATGGTCTCCAATTTGTTGAGTTACTTCCATTATGACACACAAAAGTGGTAGTAATCTGCATGCAGCAGGGTGGGGTGTTTTTTCATCGTGCTGTGCTACGGCATTAGCTGTTTTTTTGTTTTGTTTTGTTTTTTAAATAAAAAGCATTCATGAATGTTTCTAGAGAAACGTATTAGCAGGACTCTAACTGAAGAAATGCTCGTTTGATTAATCACTGTTCTCAAATGTAATGAGTGTTCCAGTATTTCAGTACTGACCGCTCCAGAGGAGGGAACATTTTGCAAGTTGGACTGCATGCCACACTGCCTTATTTCTCTGCTCTAGGAAAACCAAAAAACCTTTCTGCTGAAGGCTGTGTTGTGTTCTACAGTAAATTTAACAGAACTCACATCAACATGCTGTGAAGAATCAAATGCCAGTCCATGACATGCTGTACTGCTGGCTACTTGTTCTTAAGTGCTTGAGGCTGTTAACGTCAAGGGGTCCTCGCCCTCTATCCTTCTACCTCTTAAATGAGCCCTTCACCCGTCCTCTACTTCTTCAATTCTGTTCAGTTTCAAATGTGCCCCTTTCTCAGGGTTGTGACACCACTTACAGTTTAGCATCTGGTTTCCAGAACAACTACTGCGCTCTAAGGAAATTGAAAGACATGCTCTGTTCCCTGCTTAATTATGAATTCAGCTTATATATAACAAGAAGAGAAGGTTCCTTCACTGCATATCAGGATGTGTTGTATATACTCTCACTTTCTTACTCAAAGTCACAACCTAATTACTAAGTTTCTAAAGTAAGCTCTTAAATTCATCCTTTAGCCAACTAAATACTTAAAGAATAATTCCTTTCTGAAAGGCATTTCTATTATTTTAAAATATAGCTAATAGTTAAGATGTAGAAGATAACATCTACACCTAAATTTGGTGGGGGTTTGCAGTGGTTGTGATCATTTCAGAACTATATGTTAACCCTTAGCACTTCCTCTTCTATGTTACTGTCCAAAATACCCAACCCTTCCAAAGAAACCTGCCCTGTTAGAAATACTCCATGGTAATACAGAGGCAACGACAGATCAAAACTGGTCGAAGCCAAGTCAAAAAGCAGTAAAATAGCGAGGCTCCTCCCAGCTTCTCCCTGAAGTCCCTTGCTTGTTGCCATTCACTGTCTCCAGTCTCAGCTATCGGCAACGTAACGTGTTCACCCAGAGGTCGGGCTCTCCGGGGCCCTCCTGCCCCGCTAGGGGACAAACCACGTAACACCAATATGGTTGAAGTGGA